GTGCTGCCTCTTTCCCTGTGAGTACCTGAGGCCAGGGAAGCTGAATAAAGGAGAATTCTCTCTTCTCCTGTTGATTGAAAGCAGCTTCTCCCCAAAATCTGAGCACAACCTGCAGTGCTTTCCACGTGCTGACCTCTGCATCAGCTCAGTTGGAAACTGTGACCTGAGCTGGCAAAGGCTGATCTGTCACTGCCTGAGGGGGAGCAGTGACTCCTCTGTCAGCCCTGGGAGCTTTTCATGTTCTCCTGTGAGGGTTTTGCCCTTCACATGCTCAGCAGATGTGTCCAGGCAGCAATTCCCTGGTTTTGTGCAGAGTTCAGTGCTAACTCTCCCTCTCTGCTCTTTTGCAGTGTTACCTGTACCTCTTCTACAGCTCAGCCAGGAAGGTGAAGACTTTTGTGCTCCTTTTCTGTGTCTGTTCATGCAACATCTACTTGTATGGACTGAGGAACCTCTGGCAAATCTCCTTCCACATAGGAGTGGCTTCTCTTTCCTCCTACCAGATCCTGACAAGGCAGCTCCTGGAGAAGCAGCCTGACTGTGGTGTATGAAAAAAAAACAAACAACAAACTTGGGGTTTGCTACTCTGTTTTTACAACTCTTTTTTTGTATTCACCTGGCCAGAAATAGCTCAGAGTGTTTTTTAAGCATCCATGGCAATGGTTATTGCAAGGAGAACAGCTCCAAGCAACTTGGGATGAGCAGGATCCTGTAATTCTGTCCAGCACACAGCGAGGGGTGCAGCTCTATTGCACATGGTGGAGCTTGCATTGTCACCAGAGATGGAAGTTCTTATTTTCAGCAGGCTTTTCCTCCTTGGCTGCCACCATGCAGACAGCATTTTGTCATTTGTCCCACTGGCTCTGGGACAGCTGGGCAGGTCAGTCTTGCCCTGCTGCTGCAAATACTCCAATTGTGTGGTAAAACAAGGGTAAAGTGATGGGTAACATTTCTGTCTCTAGATTGTCCTGGTAAATGTGAGTAAAGGGCTGTTTGCTGTAATTAGTGGGGAAAATGCTGAGGGTGAGCTTCAGGATTTTTCTCTAGGTTTGGAAGGACAGGGAAAGGCTGTGGCTCTTTCATAAACCATAAAATCTATAAATATCTTGGCTGAACAGCACATTGCAGTTTAGTGTGTGCTCATGGGTTAATTGCAAATATGCTTGGGGCAGCAGAAAATAATCCAGGTGGGTGTAAGGGATCTGTCAGCTCCTGTGGCCTTTGTTTCCTTGGCTAAGGTCGCTTTCAGGATAAGGGCAATTCCATGTTTGCTTGGCCTGGATGGATAATAAATCTTCCAAGCCTATTTATGACAGGCCACTGACTCCTTCACCTTTTTTTAATAAAATGAGTAGCTGGTGAGTAGGAAGCCATTTCCAGGAATGGAAAGCAAGAGCAGGTTCTCTTTGTTCTGTAGAACACCTGTGGTTAATGGTGGTGAATTCTGACACTCAGATCTGAGTTTCTGGGTGTGCACTTTGGAACTGGGGACTGGAATTCCCAACCTCTGCTGCACTGGCTGTTTTATTTTGTCATGGATCCAGGTGCACAGGGGCATTTTAGGGCATAGATGAATAATTCAGGCTGGCTGTTCAAAAAATGCATAGCAGTTTGTTGCAGCTGTCCTTGAGGGCTTGTAGAGGTTCACACTGTAGGTATGTTATTGTGGAATTATGGTCCTAAAATTTCCTTTTATTTTTTTTCTCTTTCTGGTCATTCCCATTTCTTTCACCAAAGATTTCTTTTTCTTCTCACATAGTCTCTACCTCTGGTTGCAAAGAGATTAACATGCAGCAGAGTTGACTTTTTTTGCAGGAACACTTGACAAAATTCCTTTCTTTTATCTCAGTGACTTTTCCTGGAATCTCAGGATGCAAACACGAGGATCAGAATAGAAATTTGTGGTGCTGGAC